GCCCATAAGAAGGTAATTGTCAGTGCTTCAATGAACATTGAATGTCTATGAAGTTACTATGGAGTGGGAGTACCTGGGTGCGGTCTTATCTTCGATGGTTAAACTATTTTTGAATTTTAAAACCCCCAAATTGTCTCTTCAGTGCCCAGTAGTACTGACTCCTCAGTTCCCTTCCAGCCAGTGCAGTAAACAGGAAAGCTTTGCCTTGGTGGCCTGTGATAGGATGAGAGCATCAACTGATGGGAGTGTTCCTTTAACACCAAATAGGCATCACATTCTGTTGTAGAGTTCTCAGGAGCTTAATCAGCTTTTATGCTACCGCGAAATGTATTGGCATATCTAGGGTCATATCATGACAGTATTTTTAGATGGCAAGCTCTGCAAATTAGTTTGACTGAGGATTACTAATCCTCTGGGATACATATGTCATATCATCTATATGGAAACCCATATATAGCTAACTTGTTTTTAATTCTACAATACCAGATCGTGGATAGTTAATAAAATGTTAAACAAAAATCTGCACACCAGTCAAGCCATAAGACTTGCTTTTCCCACAGAAATAAAAAATCTGCAGTGATGTTACTACCGCAAAGGATTCTGGGTGTGCGTAAATAAAATGTAAATGTAATTCTTCTAATCCAGCCCAGACTTTCTGTGACTGTCCAATCTCCCAAAGCAGATTAAGGAGAAGTCTTTGCAAGGCAGGTGCTCTGAGCAATTGCCTGTATCTTCAGATTAGTTCCATTGAGCTAAACAACCAGGAAGTAACAGAACTGGCTGTCTGATTGACAACCGGGGGGGTGTAACAAGGTAAATTTTTATAAAAATGGGAAGTTTTATATAAAACTGCAATTTTGTAAAATAAAAAAGAGGACATACTGTTTACACATAAAGCTTTTTGGCAATATAAAGTGCTTTAGGGGTCTGGAATGTCCCTTTAGAAACTTACTGGTATCTTTTGTTTTAATAATTCTAAATGCAGCTTTTGTAAAGGCATACTTCATTGTATTTATGTCATAGAACAATATGTATTTAAAAACATTAACCTTATGAACATGTCATGTATCCAAAATAATTGATATTAGACATTAGATGATGTCTGTGTCAATATTGCGTAATTTAATTATTTTTGTTTACATCAGCGTGACCATAAAACACAGCATGTTTGAGCTTTTTCAAGAAATTAATCAAAGCAAAATATGTGATATGTTATGGTTAAGGTATTATATGGTTTACACAATAATTAATGCACGAAAATATGTGATTATAAACAAGATTCGTTTTGCTTATCTTTTTAAAAAATGTTTAATACTTGGTTTGCAGGTTCCTCATAACAAAATATTGAAAACCCCAAATATATCCCTTTATTGTTTCACTATAAAATGTTAAATATTATATTTGGCAGAGACTTGTTTAAAACCACTAGCAATTACATGCAATTAAACTAAGGCATGTTTAAACTAACCAACTTCATATTTAAAGTGGCACTGTCATGTCGAATCCTGTTTTTTTTGTTTTTTTTAACCCGCCTCCGGCCTCTACTATCTCTAATTGACCCCCTAGACACCCCCAAATGACCTATTTCTTATTCCTTATTTTCTGCCCCGATCTTTATTCAAGGCGCCGCCATCTTTGTGTGGGTAGATGAAGTCCCTGTGGGACACGTCATCTGCCCACACTAGATAGACTGTAAGATTACCGCACATGCCCAGTGAAACACCTGGACATGCGAACGGGAATTTCATCTATTTATTCATTCATCAGACAGACGAATGAATGAATAGAAATATCAGACGAACAAACAAACACCATCAGTGTTCGTTTATTCTTTCAGTTTATTACAAGGAGGGAGCTACCGGCGTGCAGTTCCCTCCTTGTAATATGTAAAGATAGAAGCGGCAGGGAGCTGTGCTCCCCACCACTTCATAAGCCCCCCAGGTCCCCCCTCACTCTATGGGGGTCAATATGACCCCCATAATAGCATAAGGGAGATTAAAATCTCCCCAATGTCCCTACTCACTATGCCCCTGGGCGGCGGGTGGGGGCCATATTGATAATGAGGGGGGGGGACCTACTGCCCCCCCCGCCCCCCACCACTGGGCGGCGGGTGGGGACCCTAAGTCAATCCCCCCCCCCAAGTTGACTAGTCACCCACCCCCCCACCCAAATAAAAAGTCCCTACCTACCCCCCTCACCCTAAAAAATAGTGAGGGGGGAATAAAATAACTAACCTGTAAAATAAAATTAAACTTACCATTCGACGTCTTCTTTTTTCTCAAATCTTCATTTTTCAGCCCCAGAAAAGGCCAAATAAAAAACCATCATAACCGTCGAACTTAAAATAAAATAAAAATCCAGAGCGCAAAAAAAAAAAAACCTGGCGAAAAAGAAAAAACCTGAGCGCAAAAAAATAATCCATCTTCACCCATGGAGGACTCCGGGTAGACTGAGCTCTGCAGGGCGGGGGAAGGCTTATAAAGGCTAAGTTTAAGCCTTTCAGAGTGCTCTTTGTCATTTTACACAGCGTGGGAAAATTAAAAAGAACTTTCCCACGCTGTGTAAAATGACACAGAGCACTGTGATTGGATGGCTTGAAATCCATCCAATCACAGTGCTCTGTGCCGTTTTACCCAGCGTGGGAAAGTTCTTTGGAATATTCCCACGCTGTGTAAAATGACACAGAGCACTGTGATTGGATGGATTTCAAGCCATCCAATCACAGTGCTCTGTGTCATTTTACACAGTGTGGGAAAGTTCTTTTGAATTTTCCCATGCTGTGTAAATGACACAAGCACTGTGATTATGGCAATCCATCCAATCACAGTGCTCTATGTCATTTTACACAGCGTGGGAAAGTTCTTTGGAATTTTCCCACGCTGTGTAAAATGACACAGAGCACTGTGATTGGATGGATTTCAAGCCATCCAATCACAGTGCTCTGTGTCATTTTACACAGCGTGGGAAAGTTCTTTGGAATTTTCCCACGCTGTGTAAAATGACACAGAGCACTGTGATTGGATGGAGTTCTTTTGAATTTTCCCAAGCTGTGTAAAATGACAAAGAGCACTCTGATTGGCTTAAACCCATCAATCAGAGTGTTCTTAGCCTAATTGTTCTTAGCATAATAAGCCTTCCCCCGCCCTGCAGAGCTCAGTCTGCGTGGAGCCCTCCATGGGCGAAGATGGATTATTTTTTTGCGCTCTGGTTTTTTTTCTTTTTCGTCAGGTTTTTTTTTTTTGCGCTCGGGATTTTTATTTTATTTTAAGTTCGACGGTTATGATGGTTTTTTATTTGGCCTTTTCTGGGGCTGAAAAATGAAGATTTGAGAAAAAAGAAGACGTTGAATGGTTTAGTTTAATTTTATTTTACAGGTTAGTTATTTTATTCCCCCCTCACTATTTTTTAGGGTGAGGGGTGTAGGTAGGGACTTTTTATTTGGGTGGGGGGGTGGGTGACTAGGGGCTTGGGGACCCCTAGTCACCTTGTGGGGGGGGTGGGAGAAATTGACTTAGGACCTACCGTCCTCCCCCCTCATTATCATTTTTTTTAGGTAGGGACTTTTTATTTGGGTGGGGGGGGGGTGGGTGACTAGGGGCTTGGGGACCCCTAGTCACCTTGTGGGGGGGTGGGAGAAATTGACTTAGGACCTACTGTCCTCCCCCCTCATTATCATTATGGCCCCCACCCGCCGCCCAGGGGTGGGGGCTGGGGGGGGCAGTAGGTCCCCCCCGATTATCATTATGACCCTCACCCACCGCGCAGGGGTGGGGGCCCGGGGGGGGGCATTAGGTCTTCCCCCTTATTTTACTTTAGGGCCCCCACCCATTGTTTAGGGGTGGGGTCCAATAGTTTTTTGTTTTTTTTTACAGTGAGCAGCCATAGGCTGCTCACTGCTTACCAGACATGCCCCTACTCGCGGTATAGCGAGTAGGGTTATATTATTATCATTCGTCGATAGTTCTAATTATTCAGTTAGTTCGTCAATGGTAGAACATGAGGTAGCAAATAAAGACTTTGTCTTGTGATTTTAAAGAAAACTAAAGAAGACATGAAGAAAAGAAGAACAGATCCCGAGAGAGGGGGAGAAGAGGAAGAGATTGAGGAAAGGTAAGTTCAGCATGACAGTGCCGCAGAAGTTTTATTTCATAATGTATGACTGGCAAAAAAAAATTTAATTATATTTTAAAGTTTACCTATGATGATACACATATTCATTTTATAGAGCATAAAGTATCATATTTATATTGAGCTAGCATACACATTTATACCATGCAGCTTGTGTATTATTTTGTGATGAACACATATAATTTAATAGCTTTTCATTAGAGTTGAGTGGACACCTGGATGTTCGGGTCCGGCGGGTTCGGCCGAACTTTGAAAAAAAGTCCGGGTTTGGACTCGAACTTGACCCCGAACTTGACCCCGAACCCAAACCCCATTGAAGTCAATGGGGTCCCGAACTTTTGGCCGCAAAAATGCCTCTAAAAAACTCCTGGAAAGGGCTAGAGAGCTGCAAAACGTAAAATGGGGGTAAGAGTAGGACAAGTGCCCTGCAAACAAATGTGGGTAGGGAAATAACTTAAAATAACATAAAAATTAAAAATACAGCTGAGCCATAAAATAGCACTTGATGGAATGTTTGAATTTATCTTTGGAAGAACATAAATCAAAATCTAAAACATGGCTGTCAGGAGGATCAACAGAATTATCCATTTGAGAGAGGGTTGGAGTGCAGGGTATTCTCTTTCAAACTGAGCTCAACTCCTGATGCATGGAGAAAAGGCCTTCACACGCCTCTGCTGTTGTGTACATAGTTTATACTAAGTGACCCATAGGTTGAGGAGACGGTGACCGTGGCGGTGGAGGATGAGGTAGCCAACACTTTATATATATATATATATAAAGCCGAGACCTTGGCACTCTCCCTTACTATTTCCAAAAAATGATTAATTCTTGCCTGGGTGCAATCCTCAGTGTTTACCATATAGCAAAAAGCAGTATATAAGGAGCACTCACAGGTCTTCATCCAAAATCCAATTTATTCTTTGGTGCAAATTACATGTACAAATTTTGAGCAATCGACATTTTGACCCTCACAGGGTCTTCTTTGGATCTATATTTTAATTGGGGTAGCCCCCAAAATATTGGGACATATAAAAAAAGACAACTCTGTTCCGCAGAGTAGCTGTTGACATTATAGTTGCGCATGAACTTTGTTGACTCGGCGGTGACTTTGCATGCGGATGTCATCAATATCAACTTTCTATGCCAGTTTCTGCGCCTACTATGGTGACCACGGGTAACGGGGAATCAGGGTTCCATTCCGTACAGGGACCCAGAGAAACGGCTACCACATGCAAGGCAGGCAGCAGGCGCGCAAATGACTCACTCCCGGCGCGGGATGGTAATGACGACAAATAACAATACAGGACTCTTTAGAGGCCCTGTAATTGTAATGAGTCCACTTGAAATCCTTTAACTCTGATCAATTGGAGGGACGTCTGGTGCAGAGCCACTGACCATTGCGTTCTGCAGCTGAAACTCCACTATCGCCTGCTGCTGCTGCTCGCAAAGTCTCATGAGGCGGTGAGCGGGAAGGCCGAAGTTATGCTGCAGCACAGACAGGCGAGCAGCAGCAGGGTGACAATGCCAAAAGCGTGCACAGCTGCTACAGTGAATGTCACATCCTGACAGTATCTGGGTCCTGGTCACCGGCCTGCCCACCTCACTGTGAAACTACGAATGGATCGTTAAATTTGGTACGAACCCGAACTTTGCAGTTCAGATTTTCTCAAGTCTATTATGGATCCTTTGATCGCTACATGTATTACTTGGATAACTGGTAATTCTCAAGTTATTACATGCATACAAGTGCTAGGGGACGGCCGCTCCGCTTTTGCACCCTGCTCCCTCTAATGCTATGCTAGTGCCTCTGTGCGACCAGTGCCTCTTCCTCCAAACTGCACAAGTCACTTGCATGACCTTGATTCCATGTGGGGTCTAGGACCTCATCATCCTCCACATTATCTTCCACCCACTCCTCCACCCTGCCCACCTTGCCGGTATGCACACTGCAGAAAGCCACAGCAGTTGGCACCTGTGTTTTTCCAGCATGTAAAGTCTGCAAAGGACATATGGAAATTGTTTTAGAATTGTATCCAGGCAACGGTTTTCCCTATAAACTGACCTCTCAGTTTGACTTGTGAGGATATTGCCCCAGAATTACAATATTGTTGAAGTACATCTTAGCTATTGATCACTGGTTTAAATATAGCAGCTTGTTATCTGGTAGTTTCTAGTGTAGAAAATATCAATCTGTTTTCTATCACTTAGATCTGTGTAACAAGTGTTGTAGGTGTGAAACAATATTATAAGTGACCGATGTAATAAATTCAAATCAAAGTTACGCTTCGAATTGACTCTCAGATATAAAGTGAAAACCCCAAATATACTATTTAGCGCCAACATTTTTTTTTACAAAAAAATGACTTTTTAAAACTCCAATATAAGCAGCAGATTAGCAGCAAAACAATTAGAACGTTTACAAGTGCGCAGAAAGCACACTATTAGCTTCAATTTGACTCTCAGATAGGCCCCAAAATTTACTATTTAGCAGATTAGCACCCAGAAAATAAGAATGTTTACCACTGAGCAATACGCGCACTATATGACGCTTCTATTTGACTCTCAGATATGAAGTGCACCCCACTAAAATACTATTTAGCAGTTTAGGACCCCAAAACATTTTAAGTTTTAAAACTGCAATGTGACAGCAGAATTTGACGATTCTGTTTGACTCTCAGATATGAAGTGCACCCCACTAATGTATTACCCCACTAATGTACTATTTAGCACCAAAAAAAAATACTTTTTAAAATTCCGATGTAACCGCGGTATTTGAAGCTTCTATTTGAAGCTTCTATTTGACTCTCAGATATGAAGTGCACCCCACCCCACTAAAGTACTAGTTTGCAGAATTCTTTCCTAAGCTGTCCCTATCAGCGGCAGCATCCTCTCCCTACACTAATAAGACCACATGTGCGTGCGGCGCTACGCGACTCCAGCTTATATATAGAGGCTGGGTCACATGCTGCACTGGCCAATCATGATGGCTTCTAAGGGCACACAAGTCAAACGCTTGTTGATTGGCTGCCCTGCAGCCTTTGAAAACGCGATATTAAATCGCCGAACACCGAACTCCAACCCGAACGATATGTCCGTGTTCGGGTCTGGGGTCCAAAAAACCTAATGTTCGGGACGAACCTATTTTTTTCAGTTCGGGTTTGCTCAACTCTACTTTTCATTACATTGTCTGTGTACCTCCTGTCTTCCCTTGCTGTGTCCCTTTGGTCAGAGACATAACTTATCTGCTTGGATCATGCAAAATTGGAGGGCCTGAATTGGTCCCCGAATGCATTTATTGATACGTATCACCTGTTAATGACGTCAGAATATGTGAACACACACTATCTCTTGATTACCTGCATGATTTTGGTCAGATAAACTGTGCTTCTGACCACAAATGGCTGCCCCCAATACAGCAAAGGCATGCTTTAAATCCACTAAAAAGAGATATTTATGTTTATGAATGAATTGGCTCCAATACAAGTAATGTATTATTATAAATAATAGTAAAAACAATTACAACTTTCCTTAAGTATATAGCATCTTAGATAATGTCTAAATAATGGTGTTTCTGTTAAACATAAAAATATTGAATAATATTGAATAATAAAAAGTTCAGTTTTGTAAAGTAATAATAATATAAAGTATTATAAAACCATACAATGTCTCCTTCAAACTTAATTTTATTCTTCTGGTCAGTGAATATAATGCCTTAAAAATGGGCTGCAAGTACTGAAAAAGTTAATAAACATTATTTCTCTTGGATAAGAAGGCCACGGAGGTCTCTTGATCATACTGGGTGTGGAAATCAAGATTAGTGCTAAATAAAGGACAGCCAAAAAAACAAATTTTGGTGAGAAAAAGCCAGGCATAGGTTTTTATCAGAAGCAACATAGTTACACAATAGACTGGGCCGAATTCCGGTACATAGATTGTATGCTCCTCACACCCATTCTATTTGCTCTGATTAAAAAAGAATAGAGCTCATAGAACTATTTCCTTTCAGTTACTGTACAAATAAATCTCAACAATACAAGGTATAGATGCATTCCTGTGTTCACAGGTAGATTGGGTAACACAAACACACTTGCATTGAGCATTGCTTTCTACACATGGGAGGGGTAAAGTGAAGAATGTAGTCCCATGTTATTTTACAGTGGTTAAATAAACTATTTATAGCAAAACACAATTGTGGTGATTCTGTTAGTGCCATGAAAAATACAACTTGAATGCAGCTCTTTATTAATTAAGGTCCAAATGAGGCTGGAATGATTTCATGGCCCAAATACAGCTGAAGCATTCTTCAACATAGATTGATAAGGACAAGTCTATGCACATTCGTCAATGCTGTCCAAGTTGAGTGGCTATTGGGCAGTGATCCCTTTTGCCAAGTCATTCACCCATCTCGCTCATTATGTTCTCCATCTTCTTTTTTTTAAATTTGTATAATTTATTCATATTAGCTCCATTCTTTACAAATGATTCAACAATGAGTTAATTAATACAATTTTGTGTAGGAGTTCCAGGCAAACTGTCAAACCCACAGGAAGAATTACTCACTGTTCTTAATGTGGCAAATTACAACAAATGAGTTTTTCTCCAGGCAATTGAGAAAGATCGTACAGAATAAGTACAGGATCAGAAGCTTGCATGAAGCCAGTGATTTAAAAAAAGAATCTTTGACATTCTAAAATGTTTCAGGTTACGGCATAAAGTAGAATCAATATTTGCAGTGGCGGCTGGTTACGTTTTAAGATGGTGGGGTGCTAGACTCTTCCCCATGCTTTTGAATCCACCCCTGAACTCTGTGGATGCCATCTTTTTAGCTGTGACATCTGTGCACTTAACCTCACATACTCCACTCCTAACAGTAGTCCCTATACAATACACAGAGTTGCATATAATACACAGTTATTAAAACAATACTCAGAGTTAGGTGTAATAACTAGATAGTATTGTATCCATACAATACTGAAAATTTTATACAATACAGCAATTCCTATACAATCCACAGGACTGTGTACATACAGAGATACCAATACAATACAAAGAACCCAGTACAATAAGGAGATATCAATACAATACATGGAGAATAGCATCATACAAATATATCCACATAATACACAGCGCTAGGCACAATACAGAAATACTTATAAAATGCACAGTTAGGTACATTATAGAGATAACAATGTAACAGTCAGAAATTAGTAAATACAGGGATACAACACACAGAGCAGGATAAAATCAAGGGATAACTATCCCATACAGTTTACAAGTTTACAGTACAATGTCTCTTTGTAATGCTCCAGCTCTTTCTGTCTAACTCCAGCACTTGAGCCCTCTCTGGTTCTTGAGTCTCTACCTCTCCATTCTCTGATCTCATCTTCAGTAGTATCACAACTTTACTTTTCTAGTAAATGTTGCAGCTTCTATGAAACGTGAGCTACTCCTGACTCACTACTAGCTCTCAGTGCACATGGTTAACACAGCCGAATACAGATAGGCTTCTAATAACATTTGCAGCTGGCAATATGAACAATCTGCAGATCTAATATGGAGCCAAGAAGTAGTTAACATGCTAACAGGAGCAACAACAATTACATATTAAAACAGATTGAAATCAGAATCAGCTCAGTCCTCAGAGTCACAGCCCTAGTCCTGCAATTTAAAGCTTCACAACTTTTCAAATAGCCACAGCTTGAGTGTTCCAGGTGTCAATTACAAAGTAATACAAAATACAAACAAATAGGGATCCAACTGGTATCACTGAAAAAGATAAATGAAACAAAACATAGAGTGATACTGTTATAGCCTCTTAATTTCAAGACACTTATTGGTTTCACTCACAGATTGTTGAGTTAAGCACAGTTACAAAGTCACTGAGCATTTTAAAGAACGTGGAAGAACCTCCACAGGTTTGAGAAATTTAGAGAGCAATGTTGCAACAAAAACTCAAAATCTTGCAAATACAATACAAATATCAAAAACTAAAACTAAATAAAACTAAAACTCTTAGTAATGACTTTAAAGGTTACTATCACTCGGGCTGTACACTTGACAATTTTTTACCCTGTGCTACAAATATATGCTGGTGAAATAGCTCTGTTAGTTAAAGCATTGATTAAAGAATATGTTCAAATTGCAGAAGTCCAGGCTTTTTTCTATGCAGAGTCAACAAAGGTTTTCTATCCTTCCAAATGTGTTTGAATTAATACTCTGGGTTGGTTAATAACTTAAATGCCAAACTAACTACACTTACATTTAGAGAATTGAAATGTACCCCCTCATAAATTAAGTTACATTATTATTATTATTTGTTCTCTGGGTTCACTGGAAGGCACATTTGTTACTGCAATTCTTTTATTTCAGCAGTGAATAGCACTCATTATAAACAGCTGGCATTTGGAGTACCTGTTGAAATTA